TTTTTTTTTTTTTTATGTGTGCACTTATTGCTATAAATTGGCCTCTGATCACTGCTTTTGCAGTTTCAGATCTTGGGACTCTTAATGGACTTGAATCAATGGCCTGCCATGTGGTTTGGGAATATCAGGACTGTGCCTTTTTACTTGTCAGCCTAAGCAGCCAGCAGCTGCCTGAGTGAATAAAGCCTCCAGCTTCATTGGGCTGGGAGCAAGAGGTAGAGCTGAAGCCCAAGGTCAAAGGGCTTTCACCCAGCCCCTGGAGCCTGGCACTTTGAACTTGGACTTCTAGCCTGCAAGAATGTGAGGGAATAAACTTCTGTTTATGAAAGCCATCCATTTATGGTATCTTCTGTTAGAACGGCACTGAGGTAACCAAAACAATTCATTAAATGGAACACCACACAACAATGAAAATGAATGAACTTCTGCTGTCAATAACACCATGTATTAATCTCACTATCAGTTAGTGACTGTTGCAGTAAAGACTTCCAATTCATTCCTGCTTCTCTGCATCTGTACCATGGATGGACAGAAGAATGAACAAATCTGTCTTAGAACAGGTATAGCTCCATAGAAGTGAGAATGGCCAGACTTCATCTCTTGTACTTCAGTCATGTTATCAGGCGGGACTGGTCCCTGGAGAAAGGGTATCATGCTTGGTAAAGTGGAGGGTCAGTGAAAAAGAAGAAGACTCTCAATGAGGTAGATTGACACAGTGGCTGCAACAATGAGCTCAAGAATACAACAATTGTGAGAATGGCACAGGAACAGGTGGTGTTTTGTTCTGTTTTGTGTGGAGTTGCTATGAGCCAAGGCTGACTCAACAGCACCTAACAACAACAAAAATATGCCTATGAAAAATTTCTTTACACGCTGACTCTGGGTTTGGTCATATGAATTGATTTGGTCAGTGCGACAATTATAAATTATGTGAGTGTGGACTTGAAAAATGCTTCCATGCTTACTCTCTTTTATTCTGCTCTTGCAACCTTGCTGCAATATGAACAAACTTGGGCTACCTTACTGAATTTCGAGGGATACATGGCCCATCTCCCCAGTCTAAAGTAATAAGGCTATTTCCTAACATATGAATGAAGCCATGTGGAACTAGCTAGCCACCAGCTGCCTACCCATCAAGATAGAAACATAAAGTTTCCAGCTGAGATCACCTGAGCCCACTCCAGACCAGAAGGAAAGCCCAGCATATCGTGATTGAAATTGATGCTTGTTTTTTCCAAGTCACTAAGTTTTGGAGGTAGTTTGTCATTCAGCAAAAGCTAACTATATCCTCATAAACAAGGTAAACACAAAAGAATATATACTATATAATTCCATATATATATACATTTCAATAAGAATCAAAACTACTCTGAGGTTACCTTTGGAGAAGAGTAGTGAGCAGAAGAGGGGAAAGTGAACATATCAGCTATTACTTCATAACAGATTCTTCCAAGGGTGAGTAACATGAACCAATGTGCATGTATTGTTGTTTGTATGGCAGTGGTCAGCAAACTGTGGTGCACAGGCCAAATCCAACCTGTTGTCTATTTTTGTAAATACTTTTTTTTTTGGAAAACACCCACCTCCGCTTATTTGCATATCGTTATGGCTGTTTTCATGCTACAACAGGGTTGAATAGTTGTGAAAGAAATCACACGGCCTGTGTGGTAGTCAAAGTTGTGTGTCAACTTGGCTGGGCCATGATTTTGAGTGGCTGGGCTGCTGGATGCAATTATTCCCCATAACGAAACAGAATGTGGTAGAATCAACTCCATGGTAGAATCTGCTGTGAGCAGCTAATGAATTGCCTTCAGGATGTGGTCTGCTTCCAGTATATAAGGAGATGATTTGAGAAAGGTCTCAAGCTTCTTGGCACATCTGGATCCTGCATTTGGCTGAGTCATCAGTGGCCTGCCATGTTGCCTGCCAATCTTAAGACTATTTCTGGACATGAACTAGTGGCCCACTGTATTGCTTGCTAATCTTGGGAATGTGCAATTTTACTTGTTGATCCTGGGTTCATCAGCCTCAGCAGCCAGCAGCTTTGTGAGTCAGAAAAAGCCTCCAGGTCTAGTGGGCCTAGAGTAGGAGGCAGAGCTAAAGCCCAAGGTCGAGGGGCCTTCACTTAGCCTCTAGAGTCAACACTTTGATCTCAGACTTCTAGCCTCTTAAACCGTAAGAGAATAAATTTCTGTTTGTTAAAGCCATCCACTTGTGGTATTTTCTGTTAGAGGTGCACTAGATAACCAAAAGAGCCTGAAAAGCCTGAAATATTCACTACATGACCCTTTATAGAAGAGTTTGTTGACCTCTGGTTTTGGGTTGGCTGAGCAGTTCTGCTATCACTAGGCCTTGTATCTATCATACAGTCAGTTCAACTAGAATTTTTCAGTGTTCAGGATAGGAAACAGAAGTGGACAAAGTCTCCTGAGGCCTCGGCTTGGAGCTAGCATACTATTATTTCCACCACATTTTATTGGCCAGACCAAGTCAAAAGAATCTTTCAAGGTATATGACCTCTTGATGAGAATATATAAGGAAAGGTCATGTTGTCAGAAGGGACAATTCCCTGGAGAAAGATATCAGGCTTGGTAAAGTGGAGGGTCAGGGAAAAAGGGGAAGGCCCTCAACGTGATGCACTGACAGTGGCTGCAACAATGGGCTCAGGTGTAGCAAGGATTGTGAGGCTGGGGCAGGACTGGGCAGTGTTTCATTCTGTTGTGCATAGGGTCACTAGGAGTCAGAGCCAACTGGATGGCACCTAACAAGAAGACAAAGAAGATAATTGGGAATCTTTTTGTAATGAATCTACTACAGAGGGCTTTCAGAACATTGGTAATATTCCGTTTCTGGTTACATAGGTGTGTGTTCTTCATAATTCATTGACCTGTATGCTTGCCATTTGTGCATTTGTGTATGTTTGATGAACTTCAGCAAAAACTCATTTTTGAAAAGCTGACTCAGAAAGAAACAACTTGATAATCATAACTTTTAAAATATTGAAGCAGTAATTTAAAATCCTCAATAAGGCACTGATGCTTTTATAGATGAGCTTCCACCCAACTTACAAAAGCCGATAATTTTCTACAAACTATTCCAGAGAATATAAGAGATGAAATTCTCTCTATTTCAATTCATGAGGGTAGCATAACTTTGATAAGAAAACCAGAAAAAGCACAAGGAATAAAATCATTGACTCATTTCACTTTGGTTTTCTTCATTCTTCTTTGTTTCAGATGAGGAGAACCCAGTTGTTGCATCTTAGATGCTTGCTTGCAAGCCTTTAAGACCCCTACTTACCAAAGTAGGATGCAAAACAATGTTTTTGTGTAGTATGTTATGCCATGGTCCCCCGCAACCATGATCCCAAGCCTACAGGCCCAAAAGCATAATTTTTTAAGGCACAATTTACAAGAGAAATGCACACATATAGCTATGAAGTACCTAAGAATAACCTAAAAAAAAAAAGATTTCTAAGTTATAAATTGTACTGAGGGACAGTTACAACTTGCTGGCATGTAGACACAGATCTACAAATAGATCTGTAGATCTAATGCAACTCTAATCAAAATCCAGCGAGATTTGTTAATGGTATTTAAACTTCTAACAATATAAGTGGAACAAACAAAAAATGAAGAAGCGCCAGCACATTTTGGTGGAAGATAGGGAGGAAGGACGTGTACTATGTTAACATTTGCTGTGAAGCCATAGTCATTATGGTAGTGATAATTGACCAACAGAATAAGGTAGAAAGACCACAAGCAGATCCATGCATACCTAGAAGGTCCACAGAGGCCATGTTAGCATCACAGATGTGGGGAGAAGAGAGGGCTGTTCAAAATGAGATGAGAAGAGTTGGTTATGCATATAGAAAATAATTAGAATACATCACTGTGCCAAAACATACATCAAGCCTAGCTCCTGAGAGGTTAATGATTTAAATATAAAATCTGTTAGAGGAAAACATAAATCAATATCTTTCTAAAATCAGGGAAGGAAAAGCTTTTTGAAGCAACACAAAAAATACTACCAGGACATACCACTTGCAACTGTCCAGGGACGTTTCCACACAGAAAACAACTTGCTTACCTGCCTTGAATATGAAGTCTCCTATCAATATGGGGGTAAACTCCCTCCCTCGGATCCAGATACACCTAGCACACCAGCCTTTTTGGAACAGGAAAACCCTATTTGGGAGAAGCTTGGGAGCTCTGGTGTTGTAGTGCCTAAGGCATTTGACTGCTAACCAGAAAACTGGTGGTTCATACCCACCGGCCACTCCTTAGAAGGAAGATTGGGCAATCTACTTCCGCAGTGATACCGCCTCGGAAACTCAAGGAGGGGTCGCTATGAGTCAGATCTGACTTGATAGCAGCGAGTTTGGTTTGGTACACATAAACTGCATCCTATGGAGATCTGATGCTCTGTCACATACAATGTCATACAAACTCTGAGATGGAAATCGAGAGTAGATCCAGTAGATGAGGCCTGTCTGTATGCTGTGGTTTGTGTGTGTGTGTGTGTGTGTATGTGAGGTATGTTAGAAGATGGAGAAGACTCCATGACGTTCTCATGCTACATGACATTTCTCATGTAGGAAAGTTAAGCTAACAGGTAATTGCTGATTCTTGCACAGCAGCTCTTGGTGATGTGTTGTCCTTTGATTCCTCTAGGTATGGCTTTCAGTGGACGGCGGCAACACTTTTGAGTTAATAGCTGACTTACATGGGGATAGCATAAAGACGTCTTACCACAGTTTTTATACCTCCGATATTGCTTTTGTTTCCCAATATGGAAATGTTTACTTGACAAAGGCAGGTGAGGAATGCAGACTTTCTAAGTCTAAGTACTAAATGTGGGCCAGGGCTTAGAAGATATGTGAAAAAGCAGCCTCATTAAACAACTAATCCTAAAGTCTCAAACTTTTAAGAGGTGGTGGATTTGTAGGATCTACAGAAAAAGCCTCTTACAAACAGCACAACCCTAAAGAAGGAAAAGCCTGGGCCATCGTGCTATGTTCTCATTTACAATTCCAATGATGTATCATTTTCCAAAAAGACAGTATAACAATATTGTTTTATGACAACTTTATTGAAATATAATTCACATGCCATAATATTCAACTTTTAAAGGGTACAATTCAGTGATTTTTCATATATGCACAAAGTTGCCAGCCATAACCACTGTCTGATTTTAGAACATTTTCGTCATCCCAAAAAGAACCCCATACCCATTAACATTCACTTCCCCTTACCCCCATACCCATCCCAAGCCCCTGATAATCACTCATTTATTTACCTATTCTGGACATTTTATATAAATGGATTCTTATAATATGTGGCCTTCCCCTCTTTCGTCGACCCTCCACCCTACCAAGCATTACATCCTTCTCCAGGGAATGGTCCCTTCTGACAACATGACCAAAGTAGGTATGATGAAGTCTGGCCATTCTCACTTCCAAGGAGCATTTTGGCTGCACTTCCTCCAGGACAGATCTGTTAGTTCTTTTGGCAGTCCATGGTACTTTCAATATTCTTCATCAGCACACATCTCAAAAGCATCAACTCTTCTTCCGTCTTCCTTATTCGTTGT